TGTATGTATGTATGTATGTATGTATGTATGTATGTATGTATGTATGTATGTATGTGTCTGACCGGAAATTCATAACTCATGTCCCTGTGGTCATAGAGCACTCAAACTTGATAGGAGTACGGGCGGCAGGATTAGAACACTTATGGTAGGTGGCAGGATCATACTCCGCCTACAATGGACGGAGTTTAAGCAAAAATTCTCATTTACTGTTCCCGGGCACCTAGGGCGTTCAAATTTGGTAGGAGTACCAGCGGCTGGATGGGAGCACGTATGGTGGGTGGCTAGACCGAACCCCGCCCAAAGTAGGCGGGCTGTGCTGAAACTCACGACACCTGTTGCTGTGCCCCTAGAGCGTTCAAATTTGGTAGGAGTACATGCGGCTGGATGGGAACACTTATGTATGCTAGGGGCAGGACCGGGCTCATCCCATAATGGGCGGAGTTTCACCGAAAGTTCATAACTACTGTCACCGTGCATCTAGGAATCGATAGTAGGTAGTAGAAGGTAGCTAAACTGGAGGGGACGGTAGCTTCTCCCCGAAGACGGCGTCGTGCACGCCATACCCGCCGCGTATCGCAGAATCGCGATGGAAGATTGCAGCGCGCAATTTGTGAGGTAGAGAGTCCTTTATTTATTTGAAATGGCTGACCGCTCTCTTCAATTCCAATGCAGATCTTCGCTAATATAGGAGGAATCATTGCCTAATTAACCAAGTCTAATAAACATAAAAACGGAAAAGAAACAGAAAAATACGTTCAGACCTAATACAAAAGGGAGGCAACCATCGAAAAATATTGCGTCATATCGATTGGCGGGGAGGCGGGGTGAGTGCGGTAATTACAGTGACATTTGCCGCATTTCGCAATGGAGGATGCCGCGATCGGGGAGAAGCTCCGTACCTCTAAACTGCATCCAGTAGTCAAGTTGGAATACGAAGGAATGAACCCAAGGCACGAAATGTGTCGGCATGCGTGTTTCGCTGGAAATCGATAGCTCCTGTTTTCTTGGATCAGATTTGAAAAAACCTGGAAACCTGGGAGAGTGCAGGCGGTGGATCAACTTTAACACAAGAATGAAGAGAGCACGGCGTTAGCCGGGCGATCCGACTGGTACATACATGCATGCGTACATACATACACGCATAACTGCATACCTACATACATACAACCGACTTCGTGAGCCCTCATACGCTACGAGCGATGAGCGTAGTCCTGCTCAGGTCATATGTGTTAAGGAACATGAATCATTCCCCTCTTCTTTTGGCTTGTGCGCAAAATCTGCTCAGTTATGCTCATCTCCCCCTCCCCCTTCGATTCTAATAAATACAATCCTTCTGTAACGTGATAGTTGTTCATTTTTTTACTTGACTTTTATAAGTTTTTACTTGACTTTTATAAGTTCCTATCTCTTCCACGATGATGTAGTATGATGAAAGGTATAATGTTATAGCGCGTATCGTCCACGGCAAGGCGCCGCAGTAGGCCTACCACACACGCGAGATGGCCTCATTATATTGACGCGTGAATCGCCCTACACCCCTAATCAGCTACCTGTCATGTTCCCATACTGCCGCCTGTACCGCCAAATTTTAACGCCTTGGGTCCAGCCATATGACTTTTGCGCACGCATCGCCCTTTGTATGCTGAGACTAGTCCTGATACCTACTGTAATTGTTCCCATCCTGCCCCCTGAACGCCTACCAAGATTGAACGCACTAACTCAAAGGAGCGGAGTTAATGAGTTTGTGGCTAAACACACTCACCCACATACGCACAGACTAACCAGATGACACTTAGCGCGTTATATACAGTAAGATGTTTGCTGTTTCAAATGGTTCTCGTCAGAAATCAGCGGGGTGGTGAGCTGTAGTGGTCCTTGATGGATTATTCGCCTTTCAGAAAAGCGGGTGGTTTTTGGTACCTTCAAACCCATAGGTCTTATGATATGGACTGATTGTGATCCGGGCGGGACCTCCGACCATTTCCGAAGATAAATGGGACTATTTTCGAGGGAACAAACGAAAAGGCTCACCGATACTCCTCATCTGATCATTGCCCCTCCTGGTTTTTTTTCAATTTCACATTTCTTTGCCTGATTGCTTCCACTGTTGTGAAAGAGCTAAAATACCTTTGGTCTTATAGAGATGTTAATCTAAACCTCAAAGAAGCTTGTGATGGCCCAATGTTTTTCATGCTCATCGCAAAACAGAAAGTACTCGAGTATGTTCGCATGTACTCGGTTTCGGTGTACTTCAGTCATTTAGCCTAGCCGTAGTCTTATGTGAATAATCGTGTTTCAACATATGTTAGTGAATCAATACTTCGAATATAGGTTGTTTATACACAAGTGTGCTTGTCCAACAGTTCAACGGTTTCGTCACTTTCGTTAGCTAGTGCCAACCACTGACTCGAATATAGAGGAGATTTTCAAAACACTCCATATTTATCAGCTAAGGCATTTCTAGGCATTCCATATCCCGTCTTTCCTCCAAATGGGCGTACCATTCGTGTTGCTCGTGTTGATATCGTGTCTCGTCTTATTTACCCTTTCTTCTACGTTTACGTCAATCCCGATCTCCGCTCAGTATGTTTTTTCTTTTCATTGTTCTTCAATCCTTCAAACACACTACATTTGTTTTTAGGTGATTCAAGTAAAGCAACTAATAGGATCGATGTTTGGTGATGGTCAGCGAGCAGCGGTTGCTTCACGGTTAGTGTTGGAACGGGATTCGCAAGCAAACGGGTTGGTATTACTCGACTCACCGGCTATGAACTTCGCCGATGTGCTACAACAATGCTTCTCGGGAGTGCCACTGGTAAGCTTTTGGGCTGAGGATTCATATTAATTTACTGGTTCTGTCAAAGAAATCTATGAGGCAGAAGGTCTTATAATTGCTTTATAGCTGTACTGTGATAGCGGATCAAAGGGCAATTCTGAGGTCAAGGTTGAAGAAGATAGAAGAAAACCATTGAACGAGAGCATTATGTTTGCTGTGCTGGATCGGAAGAAATTCGCACAAGTTCTTCTGGTAGAATTGCCACCACAAGGTTCGTGTTGCAATTCGCTTCGCTTTGCTTCACATTTTTTCGGTTACGCATTGATTGAGGTGGTCAAATAGTCGGAAAATTGGCCATAGCTAGATTGGTTTGCAAGGGGTGTATGCTGCTTGGCGCGGCCCCTCACACCCACCTTGTTATTGGGGCGCATAGGCTCGTGATTCCTCCTTGGCGCCGCCCATCCGACTCGGTTTGTGAGCTGGGCAACTCGTCCAGCTCATTCAACCTCCTGACAATGCTAGTCAGCCTACCCACTGCCCATCCAGTCTTATGGTTAGACGCCAACCCACCTGTATCCTGTCTACTTCTACTGCAAACATGGCTATTTTTTCGCCCTTTTTTGCTTCTCGAGATTTTTGAACCCCTTTTCAAGTGAATACTGCTAAGTTACAATGGAGTGGAAGTAACATGGTCGTTTTGGAGCCTGATACTTACCACTTCAAAGTAATTTGCAGTACATATTGGGTTGTAACATAAGTTCGTAGACTTTTGCGTTAGAGTTATTTTACAAAGATTTTTTTCATTTTTCAGCCGAGCGCATACATTCATTCGGAAGAGCTCTTTCTCCTCTACAAAACTGTTATATTCATTTTTTTGAACAATTTAATTGTTCGTCTTTTTTCTGGCTCAGAAATGGAATATCCAGGAGAAGAAAATCAGCATTTTCGACATCTGCTTTTTTTTTGCTTTTCATCGAGGTCAAAAAGCAGCCGAAGCCGCTCCGGACAATGCGATGTGTACGGGGAAGGTGTCTACTGCATAAAAATGGTTTGCAAAGTTTAAAAATGGCGACTTTGACTTTGAAGGAAAGCCTCGAAGCGGACGAGCTGCAGCGTTCGACGAAGAGTATCTGAGGCACTATTGAAGGAAGATGGTAGCCAAAGAACTCGTGAATTGGCTGATTATTATAATAATTTATTAAATAATTCTTTATTATAATAATTATTATTTTTTCAAATAAATTTTTGTGAAAAAACTTTACGACCTTATGTTACAACCTAATATGTATGACGGAGTGGTTGTGTGGTGTTTTATTATTTCTTCTTTGAAGAACATTTTTATCATATTTATTCCCATCATTGACCTTATTGTCATGCAAATTATTAAATAGTATTTCCGGATACATATCTCGACATACATTTACGATACCTCCTCCTTCTTTGACAAAGTTTTAGTATTCGGCTAACTCTCCACTCTTTTGAAACAAATAATATTTTTCTTACACGAAGTTTGACACAGGACTAACAAAACAGAGCAGGACTCAGTGTAAGTCGGTGCTTACGCCTTATTTTGGAAGTCTCGTTCTTTTGCTGTCGTTCTTGAAGGTGTATACCCTATAAAGGCTTAACTGTTAGGCAACCAATGCCTTGGGCGGTACTCACAGATGTATCCAGGGATGACAACACCACTATCATATGTTGTTATCGAGGGACCTTGTTCTTCACTAAGATATCATTAGTTGGGAATTCAAAGTTACTGGCGGTTGGTTAACTTCTGTCGCAAATGATATCGACCAAAGGGGATCCTTCATTGAGTTACAGACCTTGTTGGGTAGCGGGTCGTAATCAAGTAGCAAGAAATGAACAGAATTCTCTTCTGCTTATCGTGGTGCTTCTAATGAGGGCCTATCGCTGCACTTACCACTCATACAGCAAAGAAATAAGGAACGATTGCACCTCATAGTTAACTTAGTGCTAGCAATGCTATACTATTATATAATCAGGCTATAAATTTAACATAACAAATGTTGCGAAGAAAGAAGAAATGGAAATCATGTCTGAAGTTTCGAAACACTTACCTTACAATAATCTGCATTTCAATGATGTTAACTATAGAAGTAAGTATTATGCCAAATAAATGTTTTTCAGGGAAAAAACAATAAAACACCACACTATCAGTCCACCAAACATATGTACTGCAAATTACTTTAAAGTGGTAAGTATCAGGCTCCAAAACGACTATGATACTCCCATTCCATTGTAACTTAGCAGTATTCACTTGGAAGCGGGATCAAAAACCTCGAGAAGCAAAAAAAGGGCGAAAAATAGCCAAATCTGCGGTAAAAATAGACAGGGTATAGGTAATTCAATTCGGCGTCTAATTATAGCGGCGTTATCGATCGGAGATCTATCAGCTGGATGGGCAGTGGGTAGGCTGACCAGTATTGTCAGGAGGTTGAATCAGCTGGACGAGTTGCCCAGTTCACACACCGAGTCGAATGGCTGCTTTCATAGTCCGCCGGCCGGCCGGCGTGCGAGCCGAGGCAGTGCTAGGGGGGAGGGAGGCAGACAGTCGGCCAGCCCCTTCGAAGGGCTGTAAACACCGAGAGACAAGATCAAAGACCAAACAACCGAGGGCTTGAACAAATGGTCTTTGATCTTGTCTCTCGGTGTTTACAGTCCTTCGGAGGGGCTGGCCGACTGTCTGCCTCCCTCCTCCACCCTAGCACTGCCTCGGCTCGCACGCCGGCCGGCGGACTATGAAAGCAGCCATTCCTCCGTAAGTTCTGTTCGTTAGCCAGTTTTTCGACGGTCGATTGAAGTGATAATCCATAGGAGTTTCTTTGGGTAAACATGGCGGATTTAAGAATGAGATCGCGAAATGACGTCTGCCACCCTTCAGCCTTTCTCAAAGTTGTAGAGCATAATGTGGCGAATGCAAAAACTAATTTCTAAACGCATTTCTGTTAGGAAAGTGAGAAGATTTTTTTTGTGAAAATCCCGAATTCAATATTCAAGCTGTATCAAGAGAAAAGAAGAAGAAAAAACGAAAAAAATTTGCAATAATTATTCATCAACCTATTAATTTGATATAATTGTAGGCTTTTTTTTTCTTGGCTGAGCAAAGTAAACGTCTGGCACATGTCGTATGCTAGAACTTTAATCACCTGAATATCCAAAAAAGATTAATTTAGTTCAAACGTACTTTCAATAATGCTTTTCTTTGGCTTGACATTTAGTCTCTGGTCATATGGGTTGCTGCAAGGCTGTAGCATCAAACAACTGACTGACAGGGAAGCCCCCCCTTCTGACAGAACAGGCGGTCCCAATCAGTCTGTCTGTCCTATTCGACTTTCATTGGGCAGACCATCCCAAGCAAGAAATCAAGCTGTCTCATTTTCTAACTTCGACGTGATTCTAAGAATGAGGCTGTGCCTGATGCATGGATACACTTGTTTGTTTCAGCAAATTTCACATTTGAAGCCTGGAGATTGCGAAAATGCCACCTGAGAAGGTATTTACAATTTATGGGGTGCTCAATAGTTACCTTCCATTGCATGGTCTTTCCCCAGCCTTGCCCAAGTATGACTAAGTGCAATATCTCGTCCGAATTCAATATCAAATTCAATTCAAACTTCTTTTCAAGGAATGATGTATCTATTTATGATTATCAATCATCGCCGTTCATCTTTGTATGTACTTTACCTCATAACGC